GACTGTTTGTGTGGAAGAATGGGCCAAAATCACACCTGAGCAATGCATGCCACTAGTTTCTCCATACAGGAGGCGTCTTGAAGCTGTCATTGCCAACACAGGCTTTTGTACAAAGTATTAGATAAATTTCACTAAGCGTGTTCAATACTTTTTCCCTGTGCCATTCCACATTATTACAAATATCTTCATTTCTGGACATTTATGGTTTGATTTCTTTGTATGTATGGATCATTTGGGTTGTTACCGACATCTGGCGAAAATTTCATGTCATTAGCACCTCTAGTAATATATTTACTGAGAAAAATGGTGACATGTTCAATACTTATTTTACCTGCTGTATTCCATAAGTTCCTTGTTAATAAATTCCTCGAATTTGTTTTCCTTCAACAGAGCTTTGTTAAGTCTCCATATTGTTGTCTTGGGATGAGAATCTAAATATAGTTTCAAATATACCCCAGAGTGATCTGACACATCCCTAGTTTCAATACTACAGTCTAGAATCCTGTATCTGTCTGCTCTAAATAGGAAAAAATAATCAATTCTTGAGTAAACTCCATGAGGGTGAGAGAAAAAAGTGAACTCCTTAGCCAATGGGTGGTATTCCCTCCATACATCAACTAAGCCAATCTTTTTAATAATTTTTTTATTTATAGAGATTCTGGGTTGATTTTTTTAAAGGGTTTTATGAATCCAGGGAAGGATGCAGTTGTGCATTCCAGTCCCCCCACATATCAAAACGCCAGCTGTTTCAACCACTATAAGATCAAATATTTTAACAATACGTGTTTTATCATGTCCTGGAGGTCTATATAGGTTGAGTAAAGTTACTTCATTTGAGTCAAGTGTTCCCCTTACCAAAACAAAACGGCCTTCTTTATCTGTAATTTGTTTGGATACCTTAAAGTCCACATTATTTGCAATTAATATGAGTCCATTTGAGTGGGAGGAATAAAACGTCTTTTTAAAACACTTTTTTATTTTTCATGGATATCTTTTGTTAAATGGGTTTCTTGCCAGAAGATTATTTGTTGCTGTTCTCTCTTCATCTTAGCTATAAGCTTTTCTCTTTTAATTGGATTCTGTAACCCGTGTACATTAATAGTTATAAATTTATATGGTTATTGGAAAATAAATCTTGAAATAAATTAATCCCTCTAACTTACACATCCAAGGTGACCTAAACAATAAAACATTTACAAAACTCAAAAACATAGAACCTAGAACTTGAAAAAGTACAAAAAGGAACAACTTCCAACACTAAACAACTCATTAAGGAGTCCTGGATGAAGAGAAACGCCCCCATGAGGCTCTTCTCATGGGGGTCTCTCCAGTGCTAACTGACCTAGCTCGGTACAAGTGTAAGCTCAGTGCACAATCAGAGCCTTTAAACCGGCTCCCAAAACAACAGTCATGTATTATCTACTTTTTATATCAGTAACGTATTTCTTATTAGCTAAGGTTAACTTAAGGGTTGTTATAATGGTGTCTTGACACAGTGTCTCTGTACGAAAATGTTCAGTTCTTAGTCCACACGCTGGATCAGATCACTGTGATTGTTTATCTTACCACATGAGTTTAAACGAGAGGCACGTTTTGAGAAGCGGCAGCGTCTCCAGCCTCATGACGAAATCCGCTGAGTTTTTTCCGTGCTCTCTCTCCGTGTGCGTCGGGGTTACTTCGTTTGGCCTCCTTCGTCACCCAGGACAGTCTGTCCAACTTCTCCATCTTGCACTGCCGTGTGGGAACCATCGTAGCTAGTAGTGCAGTCAGGCGTGAGACCCCTCTTCTGCAGATCCTTCATGGCGTCCGCCGCATTGCTATACGTGATCGGGGCACCGTCAAAAAATACACGGAGCTTAGCCGGCGGTGGGGTTTGGAAGCGGAGACCTTTTTCTTTCAGAAGTTTTCTRAWARGGGYGTAAGCTTTCCTCTTCTTTTGAGTCTCTGCCGGATAGTCCTGATCGAAATAAACCCGCTGCTGGTTGAGGCGAATTTCTCTTTTCTTCCACACAGTGCGAAGCACTATATCCCTGGTTCTAAATGCCAGAAAGGAGATCACCACAGAGCGGGAGCTCGCATTCTGCGGTGGTTTGGGACCCAAAGCCTGGTGGCAGCGTTGTATAGCCAGGTCGATATCTTGGAGTTGACAGCTCAGCCTTAATGAAACCGTCCATAAATTCCAGCAGATTATCTCCCTCTGTATTTTCTGTAATCTCGTACACATGGATATTATTTCTTCGTGAGCGTGCTTCTAGATCAGTCAGTTTGGCTTGAATTTTATCTTGGTTGTTAATAGTTTGAGACAGCACCTCTTTCACCGCTGCGGTCCACTCCTTCATTTCTGCCACACGTTGTAAAGACTCCTCCGTTCTCTTTTGATTCTCTTTTATGTCCGACACAACTTCATTTAGTTTTCCATTAATCTCCTCTTGAAAACTTCTTAAATCTCTCTTCATGTCGGCGGAGAAGGCATCACGAAAGCAGCACAGCTCTTCCTTCATATCTTTACGGATAGTTACAATCTCTTTGTGGATACCTCCGATGCTAGCTTTGAAGCACTTCCATAGTATGTGCTGGTCTGCTGCGCTTTCGTCGAGTAATGAAGTTATCTCGCCCGTTTCTTCTGTCTGTTTTCATTTCCCGTTACTTTTTGATGCTTTTCCCCTTTTTCATAATAAAATAGTCGGTCTTAGTGGGTTAATTCAGATCTGGCAAAGGGGATTTAGCCGAACGAGTTGGAAGCTCTGGTTCAATGCGTCTGCTCACCTCAGCGCCATAACTGGAAGTCTAAATGAACCTTTTTTGAATAAGAACAGAACAATATTCCACCCACACACACAGATGCCACTGTAACCAGATTAAAAAAATGTTCATCACCTCACTGTCAGTGGTCCAAGTTATGCAGACTAGTTAACTTAAACAAAGTGCTTAAGCATTAAGTATTAAAAACTAAACCACAAAAAGCATAAATGCGCTTTAAAGTTGCTAAATGCTAAAAACACTCAAAGAAGCACTGAGGGTATACTGATCTACATAATTCTCCTTTTTGAGCCAGTTAGAATGTGACACAGCAAAGTGACAATGGTATTCTTATTTTCATATGAAGTAAGTAAAAAAATGTGGTGCGATGCACAGTAAATACTGTTTATTAGGTCAGTATAGAGTTATATTCTGCTCATAAGTCTCACTTGATACTGAAGCTCTGGTTTTGGCATGAGAAAGTTGGCATCATCATAGTTGTTGTTTTGAGATGAGCTCAGTTCTCCTTGTAAACGGTGGGCATCACTACTGAGTAAATAAAACCTAAAAAATAGCAGAATAACACAAATGCCATTTTCTACCGGTTACAAAAACGTAACTACTGTTTTGTTCCGCTTTAATTTCAAGCACTTGTCAAAATTTGTAACATTTGCAAGAACTAAATCTCCTTGATTTTTGTTTAGTCGTACAGATGTACAACTGAACATTACTTCAGATTCTGTTCTGCTCCTCATTGTTTGAACTGTGCTACTCAACATGTCCCCCATGGCTGAGGGATTGTAAATGTTTGTAAATTTTTAAGAGTTATTTTCTGGACTGGAATTGATCCGGGAAAGCAGGTAAGCATTAATGTTTTTACAGTGGGTGCAAGAAATTCAAGTGGGTACAAATTACAGTGGTTATACAAGGCAATGCAAAGTGACAGATTTTGGTGAGTGGTGGTGGTCGGGGTGAAGGTGGTCTTGTCTGACATAGATTAATCTTTCTTATTTTTCAAGTTATCCAGCTTAAGAGACGGCTGGACATACAGTATATGATGGTAGCCATCTTGGATTTTGACGTGGCAGCCCAGTTTTCAATAAGAACCTTATTTATGACTAGATGCAGCCACACACCGAAATGGAAGTCGGTACCTCACTTTTTAATTTTTTTTCATTCCCCAAGATATCCAGCTCACACAGCTGGAGGACATTTTGAATCTCTCTCTCCGCTTTGCAACGGGAATAAAAAACTGGGAAGTGCACATGGGCCAAAACAACATAAAACCATGAATCAACGTGAGGTCATTTTTGGCAAAAGCTGAGAACACCAACCATCAACTTTGAACAAATCTCTTCAACTGCTACAGAGATGATTGCGAGATAATTGTGCAACGTATGTAGCCAGTTGGTTCTTCTACTTCCTGTAGACAGATTGTGTTGTGATTTACCCGTCGAAGGTCCAGCACATCTTGCAGCATGAAACGGATCCTGGAGGTGGTCTTCCTCTCCTTTATTATTTTCTCCATCTGGTTGAAGTACTGATCCATACGAGGCTGAAAACAAGCACAGCTGTTAAATAAGCATACTTTTTTTAATTATTTGTTTAACGTTATTCATTTCATTAAAATAACATACAAACAATACAAATCAAACAAAATGAAAGGTAGCAGAAGAAGAAAAAAACTCTTATATCTGCCCCTATTTGCAAAAAAATAATATTAATTTCTAATAGTAATCAAATAATAAAACATAAAACTCAACTCCTCAAACAGTAACTCTTACAAACACAAATTATGCAATTCCATATTTCTTTAACAATTTAAAATTTTTTCATTCTCTTAAACAAATTAATTGAACCAGCATTTTTACAATCATTATCCAGATTATTCCATAATCTTATTAATTTGACTGAAGTAGATCTGTCCTTCATATTTGTTCGAATTTTAGGTTTTACAAACATTTCTAGTCCCTTAAGATTATAACAACTTTCCCTCTTCACAAAATTTGACTGGATGTTCAAAGGTAATACATTTTTATGAGTCTTATTATATAAGTAAAATATTATAATCAACCAACTCATAAAACTTTAATAATTTCAATTGATGAAATAATATATTTGATGGTTAACTGTAGTGTTTTCTGGTAATAATTTTTATGGCTCTTTTCTGTAAAATAAAAATAGGATTAGTTGTTTTCTATCAGATAATCCTAAATGATTACTACAGTAGGCACACTCCACAAGAGAGCTTGTAAACACATTTCTGATCTGACAGGATATGAACGTTCTGTACCTTGGCCTTCTCAAAGTCTAGGTCCTTGCCAATGGTGGACAGCAGTCTGCACAGGCACTCCAGGGACTCCTCATCGTGGTTTTTGAGCAGCTTTACGATGCAGTCATGCATGATGACCTCTGTGAGCATTTTGAGCTTGAACAGCTCACCGATAAACTTGATGTTACCCAGGGAGCGCCTCCTGGCCTTGTCTTTGGCCTCTTCTAGCTCCTCAATAAGTCGCTGTTTCTCCTCTTCCTGCCAGCCAAAAATCAACACGTAAAGTTATAACTTAAAATTACTATTGCAAAATGATGGAAATTATATGCCAAACTTTTCAGATACTAAAAGACATCTTTCCAATAGAGCTTTGATCTCTAGTTTTTACCATCATAACCAGAATTAATAGTTAACCATCATTTTTTCTGCAAAGGTTAGAGCCCAACTTTTATTATAAGATGCAGTACTATACCCCGGAAGCAGCCTCCAGCTCCTTCTGCTTCTTCTCAAAGATCTCGTCGTCATCTTTATCCTTCTCAAACTCCTTCTGACACCGGTTTAGCAGCAACTTGCGAAAATTCACATTTAAGGCCGGTTTATCTGGGGTTATGACTTTAAGCTGAAAAGAGCAGAGAGACTACATTAGGGAGGGGGAAAACGCAAGCAGGAAGACGTCAGTCTAGTCAACATGGAAGTTTGTGGCTCTTCATTTCCTCAATCCTATCACTGGGATCAATGACCCAAACTGAGGTCATCAATGAACCAAGAAGAAACATCTGTTAACTCAATGCATCAGTGCCTGCCCAGGCTTTAATCAATCATTTCCACCGTATTTATTTTTAGATACCTATAAAGTATACTGTATTTACTGAACTTTTTTCAATTAATTTAAACTAAAGCCTAACATTCACTGAAGGAATGCACATCACCCACCACCCTTTTAAGCCAGAGATTTAGATTAAGATCAGCTTAAGAGTTACAGCAGTTGTGGTCAAACCTTGAAAATGATGTTTTGTGCTATCTCATGCTTCATACAGAGATCATGTGCAACATGCAGTGTTATAAAATACTACAAAGTGATATTTGAGAAAAAGTACAAGTATCTTGCCCTAAAATGACTTTGTTACAAGTTAAAGTCTCCTTTAGGAATATTACTTGAGTAAAAGTCAAAGTATCTGATATTTCTTATACTTAAGTATTAAAAGTAAAAGTACTGATTTAAAATGAGCAGTTAGATTTTCTGTAAGGACATTTATTAGGAGGTGACCTCCTCAAACCAATGCAGAAATGACTGTTGTATTAAAAGAATGAATGGATGTTAAATTTAGGATGCACTAGTCCAGCTGTTTCAGTTTATATACATATATCAAGGCTGCACAAAGCTTTTCCCCAAAATGAAAATCTATCTGAGGGCTGCGGCCAAATGTAATAATATAATTCATGAAATACAAATACTTCTTAAGTACAGTCCTTTTATTTGAATGATTCTGTCCTGCTGGAGTGTGACATGATTTGTTTGTGTACAAATTAATACACTATCAGAGTTTTATATATTTATATTTCTTATTCAATCACAATTAAATTATCTAGGAGGCACAATTTATATGGATAGTTTTTATTTTTTTACAATAAGCTGGAAAAAAAAACAAGCAAAAATGAAATAAAATTGACGTTCTACTTCTTACCTTTTTTTAAAATGTAAGGAGGAGAAAGTACAGATAATTGTGTGAAAATGTAAGAAGAAGAAGTAAAAAGTAGGCTGAAAAATAATTACTCAAGTAAAGTACAGATACCCAAAAATTATACTTAAGTACAGTAACAAAGTATTTGTACTTAGTTACTTTACAACTCTGGCTACGTGTTAAGAGAGTCAGTCCCCACATGTACTTAAAGCACTGTTACTGCAGATCAAGCATTAACTCAATATTAGTAAAACTAGCTGAGTTTTAGCCATTTTCTACTTGCTATGGTCAATTAGTGGTGGTGGATATTTTAAATTGGGTTGCCTCCGGAGGTTCCAGTGGTTAGAGCTGGACATGACTCTCAGAGATTATTTTAATTGTTTTAATAGCTTTACTCCTTATATTGTCTTCTTTCAGCAGTTTGTTCCAGCGCATTCATTCAGCCACAATGCTGTCATTTAAAAACAATCATGCTACACTGTGGCAAAGTAGCATAAAGTGATGAGATTTAGTGCTTCAGAGCTGATTATTAATCAGCTTTATAATGATAGTAAACTGATCACATCAGTCATTACAGTTTTCTATCACAAAAATGTCAGAAACTTTTTATAGCATCTGATTCTTTTGTTGTGTCTTTTGTTTGTTAATAAGACTACAGATTGAGAATGAGATTTATTTTCTGACAAATGGAAACATTTTCATTTTATGTGCAAACAATTTGAGCAAAGTCTTCCTTCTGTGTCGTTGTTCCTGGGATTGTTGCTTTTGCATTTACATTTAAACTGGCTTAATGACTGCTGAAGCTTATGATTACTACTTGGAGCATCTTGTATAACTACAAAATATTTGTGAACGCAAGAAAGAATTAACTACTGCATTTGTAAAATAATTAAACTGTGTTATTACTAAACTTTGCAATAAAATTATTTCTTTACAATCTTGCCTATTTTTAAGGTGTTTTGCAACTATTTTTACGTTTGTGACAGAAAAAAAGGTGTTACACACGTACACCCTATCAGAGTTATCTGTAATTGTTTGTAATCGACTCTTTAAAGCTGGAGTTTATTATGCAGGAGTTGGTTACCAATTTACACTTTGATGGCGATAAGTTATTTAGATTTTTATATCTTCTAGTGTTGATGTGTATGTTTGTTGTTGTTTTTGGGATTCATCCTTATGGGACAAAATTATACAGGTCCTTCTCAAAAAATTAGCATATTGGGATAAAGTTCATTATTTTCTGTAATGTGCTGATAAACATTAAACTTTCATATATTTTAGATTCATTGCGCACCAACCGAAGTAGTTCAAGCGTTTTATTGTTTTAATATTGATGATTTTGGGAAAAAAGTAAAGAAAAACCAAAAATCCCTATCTCAAAAAATTAGTATATCATGAAAAGGTTCTCTAAATGACTTATTAACCTCTGAATTATCTGAATCAACAAATTAACTCTAAACACCTGCAAAAGATTCCTGAGGCTTTTAAAAACTCCCAGCCTGGTTCATTACTCAAAACCACAATCATGGGTAAGACTGCTGACCTGACTGCTGTCCAGAAGGCCATCACTGACACCCTCAAGCAAGAGGGTAAGACACAGAAAGACATTTCTGAACCAATAGGCTGTTCCCAGAGTGCTGTATCAAGGTACCTCAGTGGGAAGTCTGTGGGAAGGAAAAAGTGTGGCAGAAAACGCTGCACAATGAGAAGAGGTGACCGGACCCTGAGGAAGATTGTGGAGAAGGGCCGATTCCAGACGTTGGGGGACCTGCAGAAGCAGTGGACTGAGTCTGGAGTACAAACTTCCAGAGTCACCGTGCACAGGTGTGTGCAGGAAATGGGCTACAGGTGCCTCATTCCCCAGGTCAAGACACTTTTGAACCAGAAACAGCAGCAGAAGCGCCTGACCTGGGCTACAGAGAAGCAGCACTGGACTGTTGCTCAGTGGTCCAAAGTACTTTTTTCAGATGAAAGCAAATTTTGCATGTTATTCAGAAATCAAGGATCCAGAGTCTGGAGGAAGACTGGGGAGAAGGAAATGATAAAATATCTGAAGTCCAGTGTCAAAAACCCACAGTCAGTGATGGTCTGGGGTGCCATGTCAGCTGCTGGTGTTGGTCCACTGTGTTTTATCAAGGCCAGGGTCAATGCAGCTATCAGGAGATGTTGGAGCACTTCATGCTTCCATCTGCTGAAAAGCTTTATGGAGATGAATATTTCATTTTTCAGCACGACCTGGCACCTGCTCACAGTGCCAAAACCACTGGTAAATGTTTTACTGACCATGGGATTACTGTGCTCAATTGGCCTGCCAACTCTCCTGACCTGAACCCCAGAGAGAATCTGTGGGATATTGTGAAGAGAAAAATAAGAGACCCAAGACCCAACACTCTGGATGAGTTTAAGACACAAGACCCAACACTCTGGATGAGTTTAAGACACAAGACCCAACACTCTGGATGAGCTTAAGACACAAGACCCAACACTCTGGATGAGCTTAAGGCCACTATCGAAGCATCCTGGACCTCCATAACACCTCAGCAGTGCCACAGGCTGATTGCCTCCATGCCACGCCACATTGAAGCAGTCATTTCTGCAAAAGGATTCCCGACCAAATATTGAGTGCAGAACTGAACATAATTATTTGAAGGTTGACTTTTTTGTATTAAAAACACTTTTCTTTTATTGGTCGGATGAAAAATGCTAATTTTTGAGATAGGGATTTTTGGTTTTTCTTTACTTTTTTGCCAAAATCATCAATRTTAAAACAATAAAAGGCTTGAACTACTTCAGTTGGTGTGCAATGAATCTAAAATATATGAAAGTTTAATATTTATCAGTACATTACAGAAAATAATGAACTTTATCACAGTATACTAATTTTTTGAGAAGGACCTGTATGTGTGCACAGTGTAAAAAGTTAAGTGTATCCAGTTGTGTAATAGATAATAGATGCCAATCAAGGAAATCTATTAAGGAAATTTAAAATCAAGAGATTTTCCTGCCTAAACTATAAAATAATAATATTTAAAAGCAGGTTTTTCTCATTTTTAAACCCAGTGACCTTATATTGCACTTGGCACACAGTTAAAATCCAAGTCACATCAGGTTCAACTCATGGACAATGAAACAGATGTGAGTGAGAAAGACAGAAGAGTGATAATTTCTTTTCATTTTTCTGATTGTGGCACCACTCACCCCTGAAAGACAGCGGCACATGTTGGCGTAGGCCACTGAAAAGTCTGGCTCAGAGATGGCCTTTTCAAAGGTGAGGTCGATGACTCCCTTCAGCCTCTCCTCAGTGTCAACAGTCAGTTCCTGCACCTGCTTCATGAGCTGCTGAAACTTCTGAGGGGTGAGCTTATTGAGGATACTGCGTACTCGTTTGAACAGTTCCTGGGTTTTTATCTGTTCGGGATCATTCTCCACAACCTCCTCCGCCACACGGCCTCTAGTCGGCTTCTTCATCGACGGTTTCCAAGCCTTTTCCGCCTTGTTGAGCTGCACGTCGTCGTTCAGCGACATGCTGGTAATGATCTTTCTCGGCTCTTTTCTCTGAACCTGCTGAGAGCGACGAGCACCGCCGACCCCTAAGCCCATCCCAGGAGGCTGCAGACAGAGTGAGACAGAGACGTGCTCAGTTTTCGTGAATTTATTTTTATTTAACTTAATTTTATTTATTTTGTTTAAAACTTTAGTCATTTCTTTAAAACAAATTAATTCTATGTACAAATATATATATAAAAAACAAATACAATGAAATGAAAGGAAGCAGAGAGAAGAAAAAAATCTTATATCTGCCACATATTTCATCAAAATTTATTCATAATTTACTCATCTTCGTGTGAGTGGTGCTGAGTCTCACTGAAAGGATGTTAACTCACCAGCCCTCTGCTTCCTCCTCCCATGCCAGGCCTGCCAAGGTTGGCGAAGGAGGGGGTGAAGTCTGGACCACAGTTCATCCCTGGAAGGCGACTTGGGTCGAGCTGACGAAGAGGAGTCTTGTTTGCCTAAATAGAGAAACTAGGACTAGTTGACATCTATTTTTTTAAAATTCTATCACTGTTAGAGCTGCTAAAACACAACTAATGATTTTATAAGGCCAAACATAGTGTTTTCAGATGGTTCTACCTTGTCTAGGACAACATCACTGATGGCTGGTAAACCCTCAGGCTTGTTCATGCTGGCTGAGATGAACTGGAATCCCAGAAGAAACTCTCGGTCATATTTCTTCTTCTCTTCTGTGTTGATTGGCTTCCATTGTTCTGAAGCATATGAAACAAAAAATAACCACAATGTCCTTTTAAAGCCATTTAATTACACAATCAACCACATTTTATCAAGACCTAAAAAAGCATTAAATTTCTGATTAAATTAAATTTCTGCATTACACAGTAACGCAGTACAAGAAAGTGGACAGTAAAATCATGCAGAACCTTTCTCAAACCTCTCAAATAAGTTCATAACGTTTGTTTTTCTTTGCTTTGACTTTGCAACCAAAACCTCCCAACCTAATGTTGGCTTTAAAAGATAAAACACACACACATCCTTGTATTTGCATCAAACTGAGGACTTTGTAGTGACTTCCATTCATTTTTGAATGAATGAATGAATGAATGAATGAATGAATGAATGAATGATTTATTTATTTGGGACAATGTGCAATTAAAACATAATTTGATGCATTTGCACCAGATTTAGCCTAAGGCTAATCAGTGTGCATTGCCATTGCAATACACACTATTGTGATTCGTTTCCCATCCAAGTC